GGGAAATCAGTTTGACATATTGAACTAATAACAAATCACCTCTGGCTGGCAGAGAACTCTCTGCTCCATAGCTTCTCTTGGACGTAAAATCACATGTACATTTTACATTTATATTCAATTTAATATTCCATCCCTCACATACTTTTGTATATATAATAACTTATATTTAGTTTTTCTTGTTATGCTGCTGCAACACAAACATTTCCCAAATTGGGATCAATACAGTAATATCTTATCTTAATTAAGAAATATAACTATTATAATTAGTGTAGCAGCTGACACCTATTTTCAATATGGATTAATCTACCTTTATTTCTTTAGTTCAATTTTGATCTATAAAAATGTCAAAATAGTGAAAATGTTATAAGGTTATATCTTTAGATGTTTTGTTTTAGCCTATGTACTGTATGTCTTAATGCTCTTATATGTGACGGTGTGACCTCCATGAAACTAATATTTTATATCTTCCCAACAGACGAGCTGACAGGAAACCTAACACTCTAACAACCACAACATTGCAAAGGCGAGTAAATGTAAATTAAAAACGATTCACAATTTCTTAATTTCTTCTTCTTTCTTGCAGTGAGGTGAAGCTGACCTTGCACTTGGTGCCAGTAAGGATGCTCCTCACGCAGGCTGAATGTTACTCCTTCCTTACTGACACAGAAGCCCTTGATTTGCAATGCTTCACTAATTGTCATTTCCCTGGCTCCGTAGGGACACTTTACCTCCAGACCATCTGGAGATGCCCCCAACAATCCTGATTGGGAGAGCCACAAACCTGACTCATGGACCTGCATCTGGGTTGCAGTGGTGAATGCCCTGACGCCCTCACATTCATTCATAGTCCCCCACTGTACAGTGTAGCCACCTGAATTGCCCTCTGTTGCTCCTCAGACAATGCCATGCTTGCCACAATTTCCTCAGGTCCCTGATGCCCAACAGATTTGAGAATTTCAGGAACAGTAAGTGTTTCCAAGCTGTAGTGTTCCTCTTCTGGCTCGGGGAGAGAAGCCAAGAAATTCCTGAGAACCTGCCCCAGAGTCTGTCCCTCAGCCAGTCACGATCTTCGGAGGTGGGCTCTCTTGTCAGCAGGTTGAATTAGTTATTGGTTGGAGGAAATAGCTCCTCCACTGAATGCGTACGTTTAGCTGCCTTTGGCTTCATCCACTGACAGGGGGTGTCAGTGCAGCTGAAATTGTGGATGGCAAAGATGGCTAATGCAGCCGCGTGACTGCATTTCCATTCTCCACGTGGGCATTCACATTTTGTGGAGAGAATTCCCTCTTCTCCTGTAGATGACCTGTGGTGGTGGGATTGTTTTATTATTTAAAATATATTTACATTTGTAATGCCTTCCCAATTATCCCTTTAATTGTTTATAGCCTACTGTATGTTTATTTCATGGATATTTCTGTGTTTTCTGGTGTGTAATATTTGTAATAAAGATTTCATGTGACACATAAAATGGATTTGTTGATGGGAATTAATGTCACTAATGTGAATAAATTAACTCTAGGTTAACGGTACTCTTGCTATCACTACTCACCGACAACACCGGTAAGCACACCTTCATCTAGGCTGCACTGTTGTACGTGTCCTGACTTGTAGTGGTTCTCTCCTCTATCTACACTTCTTGTCATCTTTGTAAAACGATATCAGACTGGTCATTGACAGCCATGACTTCTAGTTAAATTCAGTGTGGCTAAAATGAAAAGCTTTGTTAAAATATGCAAGCACGCTGAAGTTAACGTCAGCTTTATTGTCAAAAATTCTACATGTGTATATCGTTTCCCACAGTGTGACATGTATACATAAAACAAAAAGGGCCTAGATAAACGTGGTATACATTAAACAAACAAAAAAAGGGCTTAGATAACCGGGGTATAGAGTTTAAAATGTTAATAATATATTTAAAGTGTTCAAAGTGCAGTTTCAGTGCAAGTCAGTTGAAACGATCTTAAGTTGGCGTAACGTTGAAGTCGTGCGACCCTGCTGCTGTACTAGCTTGTAGTTCGTTTATAGCATAACGTTAGCATTTTGCTTCTGGCGACTAGATTTATGATTAAAAAATTATAAAAGTAGGGTTGACATGTGGAGATTATCCGGCTGAACAAAAAGTGATCCCTCTCTTAAATGTGTGTCAACCACAGACCTTATTTCGAGCTATTTTCCAAAATCCTTTGGAGAAATTGCATTGGTTTTTGACGAAGGAACCGGAAGAAGTTTACTTCCGGGTTTTAGGACGCGTCACTGCGGTTCTCTATGTGCATATTATTCCAAAGTTCTATATAACTACATGAATTAATCATTGTACTTATTTCCATTCAATGCAGATTGAGGTTTGCGGATTGCCCAAGACAATTCAATGTATAAAGACAATATTGTTTGATTACGGTATGTTTTATTGTATGAAGCAACATTTTGAGTTTAGTTATTTCACCCAGGACCGGAACCGGATGTTTATATCCGCTCGACGTCAGCTGATCAGTTTAAGATTAGTAAATGATTAAATATTTGATAATTGTACATTATTGTTAAAACAAAAACACATAATCCGAACCACAAGTTTTCACTAAATGTTACCTTTAATTGTTTAAAACTGCTAAGAAGAGGGCTCATCTGGACGAAGAGGAGAGACCTATTTCCAAGAAAAAGGTAACTGACTGCATCCATTGCGTGTTGTAAAGGTAAGTTTAGATTTAGCTGCATAACAGTAACTGTTTAAGGTAAACAATCAACTTGTGTGTGTGTGTGTGTGTGTGTGTGTGTGTGTGTGTGTGTGTGTGTGTGTGTGTGTGTGTGTGTGTGTGTGTGTGTGTGTGTGTGTGTGTGTGTGTGTGGGCTACAAGTGAGATGCAGAGGGAGCAAGACACTTCAATGTGGGAGAAGAAACAAATGCAGCAATTCCAGACAACAATTCAGGAGTTGAGGGATGCAAACTTGGCCCTGAAAAATGAAAATGATCATTTGAAAGACCTCATAATAAAGCGTAAGTATTATTGTATTGCAATATTGGTTTAATACAATTGGATAGGACTTTTCTGTTTTGTAAATGTGCTGTCAATGGACCGTGTTAGAACTTAGATGCAAATAGCATCCAAGTTGCTTGCAGCTATGGTGATCTGATGATTGTAATTGGTGTGATTATATGTTTTCCCTTCTGTCACAACCCCACACTAGATATTCCTCAAATGAAGGAGGACATTGCCTCGCTTGCTGGAAGAGTAAGTTCCTCTTATTTGTATCACTTTATTTTACTTGTTACTTAATCAGAGGAGGAGATTTTTATGATGTTAGGCTGATTAGGGCAATTCACCTGCTGTTTGTATTTTTAATTGTTCAAAAATTACAACATACTGTCTTCCTTCTCTAACAAGTGTGCAGCAACCTCAAAACAATTGCAGGTGAGTAACATTTTTCTTGTTCTAAGGATGCATATTTTATGGTGTGACTCTGTAGGAGGCAATAGTCTACAAATGTGTGTTTGTCCAGGGCTAATCTCATCAGTGCCAAATTGTTCATTGCCAACAGGCCAAGAACCTCCGCTTTCACATGTGTATTATATCATAATGGAAATCAAATCAATGGACAAAAACCTTGGACAAATTAGTCAGAAAGCTAACTACAAAATAATTTTATGATAATAATTCATCTTGCTTCTCTTGTAAAAAGCCTCAACATACTGTGGCAGCTGCAGAGCCTCAGAAGAAGCAGCCTGGTGATGACGATGACGATGGTAGTGGTGATGGTGGAAATAACAACAAAGTAAGTAACAAGTCAAAAATGTATCTATAAGCTCTCAAGGCGGGAGGCGGGAAAACATATAGATCGGATATTTTTGCTATTTGACATAAAACAACGTATATAGGGTTATTTGTGTCCATATTTCCCAGTTATTACCACTGTAAAAGTTAACCGTATACATTTTGTCATGTCACTGTTTAATTTCCAGATCCATGGAGAGAGAACCGAAGCTCCAGAGAAAACCGAAGCCCCAGAAACCGTAAGTAGATGCATATTCTTAAGGTATAGGTTACATGAAAATGTTATCTGGACAGTGGTTATTTTTTTGATGGGTAACTGCAAAACTGATGCATTACCGTGCGTGCCCATGTTAGATCAAGTTTAGGACAGTGATTTGTTACTTTAGTGCCTTTATCATTCTTGTGCAGTAGACAACTATTTACTACTGATCTATACAAACTATGTTAGTTTGTATGATGTTAATTAATAATCAATTGTGATATTCCATAAAATATATTTGTGAAAGTTGTAGGCCTACTAATACATTTATATGTGATGTATTTTTCAGATTGAAATTGTGAAGGGGTCAGGAGTCTTTTGCAAAAGAGATGCGTGGAAGGCATCCATCCATACCACCTCTGGCACAGCAATGGTGCGAACTCTCCTCCTCGGCACATTTCCCCTTGAAACCCTGCTTCAGAGCAACCTCAACGGTAAAAAAAAAAAGCTACTGTTCAAAATCTCTTTAAATCAATCCTGTCATGAATAATGAAAGGCAGTTTACACATGTGTTTTTCTTTCTAAACTGATTCACCTAAGAATGGAAAAAACTGAACTATTTTCTTACTCTCTGTTTTCGCTGCTGCAATTTGTTGCGAGAAATGTTTTTTTTACAATTGTCCCACACTCTAGCCCAGTGGTTCTCAAACTTTATCATTTCAAGGACCCCCATAACTCAGAGTGTATGATTGGTAACCAAATGTGTATGGGTCTATTTGGAACACCCCCAAGGAACCTTGAGTGTCATTTGTCCCTGGACAACCACTCTAGCCTAAAGTGTGGGCCATTAGTATGTAAACATTAGCTGCTGCAGATCAGCAGGATTACCCACTTTTCATTTGCAAAATAATAATAATGAAATATTACTTTAGGTGGCAAGCCAAGCGAGGTGATGGGGAGCAGCTGGAAGTCCTGGACCCAGGAAAAAAGGCGGCCATAATCGGTGAGTAAAAACGAATGAATTTATAAAGGAAAATAAAAGTTAATAGAGATGCCTCAAGTTGACTACTTTAACCATCCCTGTTTCACTATTTATTAGCTATCAATGGTAGGATCAGGATCAGCATCAGGTAAGTGACTGAGGACACCCATTAATGGTATCTGCACGGATTAGCACCTACTGTAGGGTGATCACTACATTTTCAATTGCTCACTTCTTGATCACAGCTCTCTTCTAATAGAACCCATTTTCTGGGCTAGTGTGCTTCCACTGTGGTGGTCCTCTGTGTTATAGAATATGTAGTCGTTAATAACCCCATGACACTAATTGTTCTCCTCTGCAGTGTTAAATAACCAGCATCTTCACCCTTAATCAATGACCATGCCCTTTGTACTGTGTTTGTGCCATATCACGTCTTTAATTCATGTTCTTGATTGCAATGCATATCTTATTGCTCTTCTGGTAAACAACCTGTGCTGATGATCTCTGTTGTTTGTATACAAGTGAAGTTCATGTGATGTCATTTTTTTTTTCAAACAGTATTTTGAAAAGCCAAAATGTACCTAATTCTAACTAATAATTGTAAACTTAGCAGCTTCTTAGACAGATTTGGTAAATGCACTGACTTTTCAGATAATTCAAAAATAATAGTAATGATATATGAAACAAATCACTAATAAAATAGATCATCTGTTTGAATAAAGGCTTTGGGCTTGATCTGCCAATAAACTCACAGGGGAGCTCGTGTACACTACACCAGGTGGTTTGGCAAAACTTTGGAGTGGAATGCTTGGAGTCTGTAGAAGACTTGGAGCATTTTTACACTGTCATCTCATGATGTCCTTTTATTTTCTCTGTAGAGGCAACAATGAAGAAGTGGCCACACACAACGAAGGGCCAGCTGGGTACAGCCATCAACAACAAGCTGACAGAGCTCAGGGCTCGCCAAAAGCAGATTAAATAATTGACATTTATTGACAATAAATGTATGTTAATGACTTATACATTTTGTGTGTTGTATTTTTGTATGTAGGTAGGCTATGTATAAACCTTGAACATAGGTGTAAATAAACATATATGCACATATAGGCTAAACTTATATGCGCATATATGTGAAACTTATATGCGCATATATGTTTTACATATATGTGCATATAAGTGCAACCTATATGTGCAACCTATATGTGCATAATGTGCAACCTATATGTGCATATATACACTGCACCCATATATGTACATATATGTGTGTGCATATATGGATATACATGTACATATATGTTCAGAGACATATATGTAGCGGTCCAATTTCAGATATGTCACATATATGTTAAACATATATGTGACATATATTAAAAATATATAGGTTCATATATATTCCTTCCATGTGGGTAGTCCCACAGTGAGAACATGTACACTGTTACAGGAACACTTCTGACAAAATATAAAAATAAGATTAGTAGAATTAGTAACATTCTTGAATATCATTTGTAATATGGACTTGATAGCTATACACATTATACCGTGCTAACAATGCTAAGCACTACACTTATTTCCCAGAAAAAAGCCAGCATCCAACATTTTTAATCCATGTGCTATATCCTATATCAGTTCCTATAGCTTGTGTTTTTGGTTCAACATGGTATACTTTTAAAGGTATAATAAACATATTTTTAAATGTTAAAGTTCAAAACTACTTTGTTATGCAGTTCTATAAAGTACTGAAGCTTCAGAGAATACATTTGTTATTATTATCCATGGTCTTTAGTCATGTGGACGTCAGGATATTGGAGATTAAGTTACACTATGGGAAATGTTCTCCCATAAGGTATTGCATGTGAGAGAAGAAGAGTCATAAAGGCCTCGGACAAACATTTACAGACCAGTGCAATTCATTCTTAGTCATCACCCATAATCCTCTGCTAGCAATCTGCCTGTCCAGGATAAAGGTAACAGTGGCCACACACACACACACACACACACACACACACACACACACACACACACACACACACACACACACACACACACACACACACACACACACACACACACACACACACACACACACACACACACACACACACACACACACACACACGCACACACACTCTTAGGGGAATAGGATTATGGCAAATTAAAAACGTGTGATCAACTCAGTCTTTTGAGGCCTTTCATCTGATGAACAGTGAGAAGTGTAATCCACTTTCAAACATTTTATTATTGAAGGATTTATTCACCTTTAAAGCTTCCCAGTGATGGGAGGATATGTCATTTATAGTCATCTTTGATTTGTTTATACTTTATTTCAACATATGAAAAAAACAGTACCATGTTTGCCTCTGAAATGTAATGTAGTAGTACAAAGTAACATACAATGGAAAAACTCAAGTAAAGTACAACTTCCTAAAATATGTACTTAAGTGCAGTACATGATTATATGTTGAGTTACATTATACCTCTGCTTACAAGTGAATAACTTGAGCTTTTGTTTTAATTGGCAACTCAGCAACAGTCATATACTTTTTTTTCTATAAAGAATGTGTCATTTTTTTCTAAATGTGTGTCCATGTTGATTAGCCAACATTTTAGTTTGATGAGTCAAAATACAATACTTCAATCTATGAACCAGTACTGGTTATCCATCTGTGTCCATGTGTTGCTGTCTATCCTCCTCTTCTGGCTAGCTTTGGTATTGCTTGGAGGTAAATCCTAGAATACAAACTATGGCTATATTTGTGTGGTACTTGATTGTAAACCATGAAGATAAAAACATCCATGCTGTATAATATTGATCTCTAAGAGGTATATGTGTGTCTTCATCTGCAGTATCAAATGTCAGGTCAGCTGCAGAAACACACATTGTGCATGGTATGTCTCAGGCATTTGGTGGATGATCTGAATCTAGATTAAAAAAAACAGTGAGAACACATTTTAAATTCACTTTGCCAACATTAAAAGAAAAAAAGAAATTCAGAGTCTTTGTACTTGTATAATATTTATGTTAGAGGAATATTTGTGGATGAGAGAATAATAATAGGTAACAGATTTATGTTGTCAAAGTTCAGTTAAATATTCCAAAGTGCATATATGCATACAAAATGTGAAAAACAGTATTTATGACATGTCTACTATATTGAATAGCAAGCCTTTGTGCTTGACGTCTTTATATTTGACTTAGTTATATCCTTATTTTTCCCCCGCTGTCACAGCTTGACTTAGCTTCTCCACAGGGATTGGTGCAAAGTTATGATATCTCATCTTAAACACAAATATGGAATGTGACAGACCTAGAAGCAGATCCAGACAGATGGGTGAACTGACAGGCAGAGATAAAGATGATGTGGATTAGAAAGGAAGTGAAGAGAAAAGAGCTATGATCAGCCGACAGTGTTGGTCAAGCACCAACATGACACCAGCAGATGTGTCGCAGTTTGAAGCGGCACGTCACCCTCCTGGTGGGCGTTGTGGAAGACAGATAGCTCGGCTGACAGCCCGCCCTGCCCCAGGCCGATTCTGATTTATGGGGAAGACTTAGGCTACTGCGTGGCAGAGGCGGTGGGAAAATGGGGTCTGTCTCGCGCTGTGTGGACAATACATGACTCTACTACGAAAGAAAACATCAATATTTCAAGTATTTTTATCCAGATACTAACCATTTCCGTCTTAGCATTAGTGAAGTTGTTTCAAATGGTCTATAGTTGTTTTCTTTGAAATATAGGCCTACTTAAAGCAAATATGCATTATGTAGCCTACATTATGTCTTTAGCAACATTTCCAATTTCTTTAGAGAAAAAGAAAATCAGAACACCGAATACAAATATTTCCTCTCGTTTTGGCAGTGCACAAGGTTTGATCTTTGTACTTAGCCATATTGTTTTATCCCACTATGGCCCTTTCTCATTTCTCTAACTCCCCTCCTCGACTCCGCTCCTCGACTCCTATCCTCGAGACTTAGTCCCGCCCACAGGAGATGCGAGCCGAGGAGGGGAACTGAGGAGAGAGGAGGGGAAGCACTAGGCAGCAAACTCCTCTCCTCTGAGCGGTCATTTTAAAGAGACGTCCATTAATGATGACAGGAGGCACATCAGCCTCTGATGTCTGATGGACAGATGTGTTCATGACGACTTAGGCTATATATTTACTTTTAATTCATTGGCAGTGCGGTATAATGAGATAATAACAGCTAGATGCGGGGACACACACACACACACACACACACACACACACACACACACACACACACATATATATATATGTATATATTTATATAAATATATACAATTTCAGAATGAAATAGAGCACTCTCATAATAACGTAACACTATCAGAGACTGGATATATCCCCCCCTCTCTGGTCGCTACAATGAGGAAAATAAATTACGGGCCAAACGTTTTATTTACAAGTATTAAAAGTAAGCAGAGGACACCAAACCAACTGAGACCTGTCTGTCCGCTGCATCTACGCACACACTGTACCACACACACTTAAACCACACACACGCACCTACCAGCCTAACAACCGTTGTGTATTTTATTATGTGAAGCACTAAATGGTTTTAGAAAAATATGGACTCTTTGTTTGTAGATATCTACTAAACTACAGCAAATAAAGAGAGTAGGCCTGTTATACTGAGTGATATATATTTTACACACTGCTCTGCTTTCTGCACGGACCTCACAGCTGTTCTCTCTGGAAACATCGCGTCGCGATGAAAGCAGTTAATAAAATAATATCCAGGGGATGCATGCATAGCTGTCATTGGCTGAAATAAGTCCGGCCGTGCGTCAATCTTATTGTATCTTTAAAAAATGTTTAACTTGTGTAATGTTTGACACTGCTGCTGAAACAAAATCATTTCTGTCATCTATTGATCTACTGTATCTTTCTATCTATCTATCTATCTATAGGGCTGTTTACCTCCAAAATGCTCCACTTTGTACACTAACCAATTGAAAGAAAACTGAAACTGTCAAACAACAGTTGTGAAATAAAAAACATCTATATAGGCTACCTAGTGAGGGATATTGAATACAATTGATGTTGCAAAAGCACACCATTTCAAAAGAGGAGTTTAATCCGACGGGCTTTCAGGATACTTCTTTGATAAATTCAGCAGAATTAAAAAAATTAAACTAATTAAAGTAGTGTGACAACTTATCCGCTGATATTGACAAAGCAATAACTAAAAAATAATCTCTGAAACGCCTTTTGATTGGACCCACTAACATGAATGGGTTTATAAGCATTACATCTACTATTAATGGATTCTTATTTTTAGGAATACATAAAAGCAATGTAATTAATAAACCTCAAAAAGAGTATTAGTATATAGCAGCAATTCAACATTCAACAAAGCCTCGAAAAATATTGTCCTCCTCCATGTCTCAGGGATTTGATTAAGTCTCTTCCCTCAATTACTCAAAAAGGAGGCCATGTTTTCAGGCTTCTGTCAGGCTTAAAAATGCACTTATGTCCCACACTCCCTTTTTCTGTCTGTCAACCTCCTGCGGTGCAGGGTTTCTCTCTGGCAAGGTCAGGGGCTGTGGTACTCCCCCCGGTCTCTTTGCAGATGTCCCATCATCTTCAGTCTGGACCCACTGCTGCTGCTGCTGCTGAGATACACACACTGCAGGAGGTTGGACATGAATGTCCTTCACATCCTCCCCCCCTTTCTTGTTCTCATTTCCTGCTCTCACTCTTTTAAATGTTCCGTCAGCTTGTATCGTTCTCCTGTCATACTGCAAGTCTGCCACCTTCTCTAACATTTCCTCATCCTCACAATTCTTCTTCTATGTCCTCCTCCTAAACATCTTTCTCCACCTTCCTTCCTCTCCTCCTCTGTAAATGTGCGGAGAGCATTACCCTTTGCATTTGTCTGGCCTTGGGCTTTTGAGAAGATTACATTTCCCAAGGTGTTTGGATATTCATACAGTCACCTCCTTCCAGACAGGGGAGTGTGTGAAAGGGAGGATCTGTTCAGCCTGTCGTTAATCTCACACAAT